GAACTGACGCTCCGTTTCCGTCTGTTGCTTCAAGCCAATTGTGTATCATGCTTACGACGATGATCCGACACCACCTTTAACGATGGAGTAAAAAATATGTTATACTAGAAAGTGTCAGGATCGTTACCAATGAGAACATTTGAGCAGTCTTAGTCTAAATTTCTGCTGGTTCGAGTTAAGAAAAAGGCGGTGGAAAAAAATTTTAGCGCGCCGCGTAGGCTTCTGGGAGTAGATGAGGCGTGTATTAGGTAGGGTCCATGAAGGCGGCGCGTTAACATTAATTTTTTTTACTGATGTTTTTATGCTCGCGTGACGGAGTTCTCCGAAAAGTGGGGACTGTTCGTAGTCTACATGGCAACTGATGTACAAGCTGAAGAGCCGTGACGTGTACACGCACCACACTAAGGTGTGTCATTAGATTTCTCAAGAGACACTGGGACGTACGTGTACGTCGTGGTATTCTTACTGCGGCTGGACTTGACGGGACTGAGTACAGTACAGATGCGTTATTGACCCAGAGGATGATGACTGGATATTGGCGAGTTCGTTTTTTGCAATTTTATTGACGAAAACGAAGTCGAGGTCCATAAAAATGCATAAAAGGAACGAGGCTAATATCTAGCCATTTTGTTTGGTCAATAAAAGGATTTATTGTATTGCAAAAAGATTATGTTTCATTAATAATCAAGAATAACTTGTTTATTCCGAGAGCCCGGAAAAAAAGCCAACTGTGAATGTAGCACAACAAACCCACGAGATTCGTTTATATTTTTTTGTTTTGACTGTTTTCTGCCGCTTTTTGCGTCTCCGTCGCCAACATTGTACAAGGATTACAAAGTTAGTACTAATTCAGTTGTTTTCTTGCGCAAGATCAAAGCGGACAATCCTGTGCGGGCACAATGGGCCCATCTTGCCCGCTCGGGTAGCCAATCAAAACACAGGATTTGCTTCATATTGCCCACGCACGCTGCTATGCTCGTGTATTCGTCTGTGTAATGTGAAAAAAAATTCATAGTTTACTATAAAGACGTGATCTCGATTCTCTGAGACTGTAAAACTGAAGAAGGAAATATTCGATAAGTTTTATTAGTATCTTCCCACGCCTCTCGAGTTTTTTTCCCATAATTTTACAAAAGAGATAATAAAATTATGCAAAATATCTGGGTCTAGTGTCATGGAATTGGTGATGGATGGGAAAATCAGAAAACAAGCTTTCAAAAACGAAATCTTCTCCTAATTGTGCAAAACCCTTGCTTCTAGGTATGCCTTATCCCTGATGCTCAAGATCATGTATTGAATTATTACGGCATTGTGGTATTTTCCGATCAAACGGCTTTCATATTTTCAATGCGCACGACCAGCGGACCTACCTTCGCAAACTTTCATTCGCTCTGACGAAGGGCTAGCGCTCGAAACGTCAGCTTTGAAACTATTTGCGGTCGCAAATTTACGTTATCAAGTCAGTTGATAATACCAAATTATCTTGTTAAATTCCTCCACCGACGCGGCACCATGTACTCTTTCCTTAGAGCGAACCAGTTAGTCTGATTAGTTCCCAGTACCTACACGTGAAAGGAACGCCTTGTCGTTTAAATCTTAATGGCGCACGAGATCATTCAGCCAACATTTTCACCACGAAAATATTGTCAAGTTTGACCCAAAAAATCTGGTAAATAGTGAGAGAAAGACTCGGAATGGTAAGTTGATGAATTAATTATAATCTTTAAGCAAGAAAGTTTTTTCTTTATCGCAGGAAATAGTCGATCGTAATGGCGTGCAAACTTAAGAGTTCCAAAATTTTATTAATTTATGGTTTCCATTCCTCGATCTTTCTAGGGAGATATATTATTTCCTTTTTTTTTTTTTTGACCATCAGACATTTTTCCTGCAGAATTTTAATTTCCTTTAATGTATCAAGCTTTCGAACATCAAATATAGAAACGGTGTCATGCGATACGAGATATATTTACTTCTGTCGATCAAATTAATGGCACGGCGATTTTTGCCTTCAGGAGGTTTCTGTAGTTTTCGTTTTCTCGTTGATTCTTTTCTTCCATACCAATAACAACTTTTTTTACCCATTCCACACTAACGAATTTAAAATGATCTGCTGCTTGGAGTTATATATGCTGAGGTTCAAACTTTTTCTTATTTAATTAAATATTTTTTAGACCAGTTTTGATTTTAATTTTCCCATGTTTCAGAGTATGACAATGAACTCATGACAGAGGGAAATGAAATGTCAAGCTGGTTTAAAAAATTGTACCAAAAATTTATATGCAAACTGCAATTTTTCATGTACTTTGATTTGTATGAAGGTTTCCAAGGACAAAACTTTTGACCTGAATCACCATAACA